ATTCCATCAATTGCATGAACTCCTCTCCCAGCATACTCCTTTCCTCAGACTTACTATTCCAGTTGTATAGCTTTGCCTCTCAATTTTATCCATTTCATATTCTGCCTCTCTCCCATCCTCTACACTGGGCTCACCCACTTCCAGAATTCTTAGCCTGGTAATCTCCCATGCTGTGCTCCTGCACACTTGACCAGACACTCAAGCCCTGCACCAACGTGAATCCCACAGTCAGCAAAGCTGAACTGAAGATCACTGCTTTCTACAGCAGCAGCAGAGATCAGCCCACAGTAGCCAGAAGCAGAGATCTTGAGATGTACAAACCTATTCGGGAAATAAATGAAAGCACTTACCCCAAGTCTCAGAGAGACTGCAGGTACAAGTAAGGAGTTGTTGATGCTACAGGCTCAGCTGCAGGCCAATTTTGGAATTTCTACATTATTTAAAGTCTTTTCTGACTTTTTTAAAAATGTAAAGTCATGTAAAGGTGAACTTACAAAAAAAAAAAAAAAAAAAAACAGTTAAAAAATTAAGTTAAAAATTCCCTGAATGTCCCCAGTAAACTATGAGACAAAAATGGAGAAAGGCTGCTGAAGTTCTGGATAACAATTGCACAGATAGTGCTGTATACCCATTATGCTGAACTAAGAAGCTTCTGACAAGATACCCAGGCTCCCTTTTGCGTAAGCAAAGGTATCTCAGGAGGCCCCAACAATTCTCATGAGACACAGAGGGGAAAAAATATGCAAAAATGTAACAAGTTTCACTTTCAAAGGAAAACAACATTTCCTCCCATACATTTTCAGTATCATTAAATTGAGACAACTGGTACAAGTCTGGTAGCATGTCCACAATTGAGGGATACAGGCATCCAGACTCCACATATTGCTTGGGCTCACTGCACAGTGACAGCAAGAGTTATCTGCTGAATCAAGTTGGGAACTGTCAGAAGCAAAATTTTCTATAGCTAAATTCATGGGAGGTTTTTTGAGCATGGTCAGCATATCTTAATCAACTGCAGGACTCCTAATGTGTTGGAAAGGGGCTTTGTTGTTGTTTGTAATGCACTTATTTACTCAAGAAAGCTCAGCTCTGATTCAGCATCTGGTTCTCATTGAGGGTCAGCTTTTTTTAAACCAAGCTTTCCAGATGGGTTGACTGAAGCACAACGAGGTCAAGAGACTTGTCTGAGGTCATACAGCAAGTCAGTGGCTCTGCTTGGACTGGAGCCCGGAATGGTTCAAGGCTACTACTCCTTGACTCTTAAAGACACAACTTCATTCCCCCATGAAGTGATCACTACGAAGAAGACATGGTCCCCTCAAAAAAACAGTCCCCTCAAAGCTGCCGCTTGATGTGATAGTTATTTGTTAAAACCTGTAGTGTTCAATGTCTGAATGGATACAGGTCAAACTAGAGGGATGTAATACTGATATACAGTGTCATCCACCTCGGTCTTACATAATATACATTCTCCTATAGGGCAGCTCTGCAGTGCTGCTGCAGTCCGTATTTTCTACTCACATTCCACCCAGCAGCGCAGCAGATCATTAAATTTACTGTCAGGCAAAGCTGAAACCTCTCCTCAAAGCAAGAGAGGTCAATTGAACTCAAGACCTGTGGAAGAGCCTGAGCACTTGTTGCTATGGACAAGGAAGCCTGGCACAAGCAACACATCCCTGCTGACTGACCAATAGGGACTCTAAGCCCAGCTCTACTCCTCATAACCACCAAATGCACCCTTCAATCTATGCCACAGGCTGGACAACAGTCAGCAACTCAGACAGAAGGCACACAGATCCCACAGCAAATGCATGCTTGCTCCAAATGAAGAGGAATGCAACTGCTGTTTGATTCTCCCATAAAAAGCATGACTCAGCTCTGCACTGTTTTCAAAGGGGCAGAGCAAGAAATGTGGAATGAGGCTACACAGCCTCAGACAGGTAAGGGCTACCCCTAAAGAGCTTTAGAAAACATAGATGGTCTTGCATGTCATTCTAAAGAGCCCTTCTGAAACTGGATTAACCTCTAGCAGGGCTCTGATGCTCACAAACATTGAGCTTTGCTCAAGTCTTTCCTATAATAAATTCAGCACCTTAAAAAGATTAAAGCCACAGAGTGCTAGGGAATGTTGTGTTACTGCTCTAGCACTGTTCTAAGGATTAAAAAGTCAGGTTTTAAACCACTGTATTCTGTTTAATACATTATTAGCAAATAAAACCCTGAAAATGGTGTACATGCCAAAAGCAAGCATAGGTGCAGCCAACTTTCTTATTCTTACAAGATGCATACCCAAAAATCTTTTGCATAGCCAAGAACCACAAAACAAACACCACATAGCCAGCGAGCACAGGGAAGAGATAACAGTGATTCTCTAGGGCCCCCAGTGTGGGATGGGGTTAGATTGTGCATGCAGATGAGTCCAATGACAACTCAGTGACGTCAACCTCAGCAGCAATTGCCTGTTCAGTTTCCTCTCACGGCCAGAGAACAACCAGCAGTCCTTGTGTCAACACAGCCCTGTTGCTCCAGGAGCAAAAGGAGAGCCATACCTGAACTGCTGGATTGTCTCACAGAACTGAAGAGCCAAGTGAGGGCAAATCTTGAGCTGGCCACGTGACTTACTCCAACACTGAAAGTCTTTCCTAACTCCTGCTGAATGAGAGCATACCTTTTCTTTTCACAAGTTCACAGATAAGATGTTTTGTAGTCTCCAAGAAGAGGCACAGCTTGTTGAAAACCAGACTTGCTCTCTCTCAGGACTTCACAAGACCACATTGGTGTGACTAACCTTGTGGTTTTCTAAATCTGATTCTTTAGATCTGATCTGATTCTTTGGGATCTGATCACTTTGGAAAGTTGGTTTTGACCAGCTGTTTGAGACAGGTTGGAATGGGGCATCCAAATCTGTGTTCAGTTTTACAGCAAGCTAGATGACAGCCTGGTTTTCTGTGTCTCAGACTGCCCCACAGCACACTGTAAGCCACTCCATGCCTCTCCAGAGGCAGACTGCGTGCTTCTTCAGTGCCAGGCTGGAAAAAGTCACTGCACACAGGACACAGGGGCTGCATGCAAACCAAAACCAAAAGCCATAGGAAATCCTCCATGCAGGACTTGGAGGGGACTGGACATTTCAACAAAAAACTCCATGGGGAACAGCGCCTCAGACACTAGTATGTGGTTCAGTACTTAGTTTCCCCGACAAACAAGAAAGAATCCCCCAAGCAGATGCAAATGCCAAGGCCTATCCCAGGGTCGGGCTGTGGAGAACCACTGGCTGAACTATTCCATCCTCGGCTACGTTTCTGGATTTCTTCGGTTTTGTTTTCAAATGTAAATGGCTGAACAGCTCCCCCCCTTTACAACTTGCTGCTCTTCCAGTTCAAACAAAGGCAGCAGAGCTCCTCCTCCGCTGGCTGCAGGATTGGGTAGTGCAGGCGGACGCCTTTGTTTACTAACTCTCCCACATGCTTGGCCGGCACGCACTGGGCTGGCCGGGCAGCCCTCGCCGCAGCCCTGCGTGCAGCGCAGGAGGCTGGCAGCTACCCGCAGCCCGAGAGCAGCAAAAGCCAGACCAGGGGCAGCTTCACAGGGCCGCTTTGGATGGGCATTCTTGGATGCGTTTCCAAGGCATAGATATGAGGTAGGTTCGCTCCCCGAGATGCAAGGGGTCAAGTTACAACCAGTTCCACCACTTCACTCCAGGGCTCCTCCGCTCTGGAGACATTAGCCTTCCCTTCACGGAGACAATCTGGCTGTAGATAGCTATTGTGATGAAAAGGTGGCGCTGGGGAAAACCCCGTTTCAACCAACACCACATGCTAAAAAGCTTGTGGTTGCTCATCGTTTTCTGTAATTTGCAAAATCACATTCATAGCCCAATCCACCTTTCTACAGGTTAATCTTCCTGTTACAGCTTTAACCTTCCTTTAAGAACAGTCCTGTTTCTCCTTTCTCTTTCTTATCACAGAGACAACTAAAACTTTGCCCTGCCACAAGCCACGTCCTCTGATCAGGGCAGAGCTCCTCACTTACCTTTGAGAAGAATTACAACGGACTCCAAGTTAACAACACCAACACATTTGGAATGAGATAAGCTTCTTGTCACTCTATGAAGTCAGCAAGTGTCAACTTCTTCATATGCACATTTGGATACACACTGCAACACCTTGCTGGACTTGCATACAAGTAGGGAAGTGCTGCCAAACTCTGGTCACCAAACTCTGCACAGCTGGAACTTCTATTTGTTTACCATTCAGTAGAGAAGGGAGGGAGAACGGAGAAAGAATCTAGATTTTTAAGGGACTTTGCTTTTATTTTCTTTCTTTAAAAAACAGCAGAGCTCTTTTTTCTTTTTTTCTTTTTTTTCTTTTTTTCTTTTTAAAGCAAAGTAAAACAAGATTCTGTTTTTCAGACCTGATGGCATTTTACAGCTGTCTTTTGTTGTGAGGAAGTTGGTCACAAGTCTGAGATAATAGCTAGGACTGTCTCACAGAGGAGTTGCTATCAAGTCTAGCATGATCATAATACACTCTAATATTTGAGACAGCTATCCCTAGACAACAAAAGTGCCAAAACAGACTCTAGGCTTGCTGTCATCTCCAAGATGAGGAACTTACACAAGTCACAGCCAACCAACTGTATCACAGAAAACATGATGCTGGTGGTAAGGATAGCAGAGAAGAAAAGCAAAATGCTAGGGAAAGCATCCGTGACCCTTTTGCTGATGAACCAGGAGAGCTGGAATAGCAGACAACAGCAGCTACCTTCCCAGACAATAAGTGCAGTTCTATACATGCTCTTCCTTCTACCTATCAATCTTTCAAAGAGAGCCATCAATCTAGCATGAGCAAAATACATAAGTATACCATGCTGTTTTGTCACTGCTGGCAGCCTATGGCTGCCTTAGGCCACAGCTTGCTTAGCCAAAGCCTGGAGCCAGTCTTCTGGAGCACCACTCTCAGATAAGAAATACCCCACCTTCCCCTGAGGAAACACCCTACCCGCTGTATGTGGAGCCGGTGGAACTGGTCTGCAATGCACTGCAACTTCCGTGCAATCTGCACCTCAGTACGCGCCTCCCGCTGACCTTCCTGAGGCTCTTCTTGGAGATCTGGATCCAATGCAAAGCCAACTGGGGGGACATGTAAGCGGTAACCAGCATTCCCTACAAAACAGAGACCAGAAGAGTCATTCTTCTAGCACAAAGAATAGTTCTTTTATTCAGTATTACACTTCAGGCATACAGAAAGAGTTGCACATAATCCTATTTTTTTTTTTAACTCATTTTAAAGTCCAGTTTCTGAAGCCAAACAATGTCTGCATATACCATAAGCATGCAGTACAAATTTAATTTGCTCGGCTTTTAATTAGTTTTATAACAATTAAGCATAACACTGTGTTATCAGTGTTATCAAATGACTGGTAGGATCTTCCACTTGGCTCTTTTTGCTTGTTTATGGTTCAGACAAGTGCAGAGGTATTCTTTTTTCTTTAATGACAATTTTACATTTCTTCCAACATCTTTGCCTTAAGTTTAACCCTTTAAGGGTTACTGTATGTTTTCCTTCAGATTTTTCTCAGTTGTTTTCTCTAGTGTTCAGTGGGACTGATTTGAATTAAAGCTGGATTGGATACACAGTACTGAGTGGTGCCCCATCAGTTATCAGTAAAGTGCTACTTATTCAACAAGTTTAATTCCAGTAAAGAGCTTGAAGTCTGTACCATTAAGTGGGAATTTTTGCATTTTCTTCTCTTCATTGCAAACCTTCAGGAGTCTTTCTTATGTGGATGAGTAGCACAAGAGGTTTAAAAAAAAAAAGTAGGTAATTGGTAGGATATGACAGATGGTGAACATTTTAATGCCTGGCAGCAAAATAAACTGACAGAATAAAGTGCAAAAGAAAAAAAGTGGAAGTATCAAGTACAGCAGAAGCAATCAGCAAGTGCCTAGTTCTTGCAGTGACAAGCAAGGGTAAGAAAATACAAGTTGCCACTCTTTAGGGAATAGGACAAAAGCAAAATAATTTAAGTCTTTTAATTTAAAGCTCTAATGAAAGAAATTGTCTGGCTGGGGAAATGCTGAAGGGACAGTTTCCTTGCTGAAAAGCTGGTGACATTGGAGTGCTCTTACCATAGAAGAGTCTCCGGGGCTCTTCAGTGACTCCACAAGGCAACATAACATCCTGACTGGAAGAGGACGGGCTGAGTGTTTGAGTTGCCTTGTCCTGCTGCTCAGGATGCCTGACACCGGGACCACAGCAGTGTGTGAGGGGAAATAGTTGAAACCTCCCCAGAAGGCAGCTGTAGGACTGGTTCTGTGTGAAAATGCCAGTTGCAGTCATCTCACCAGGCTGACCTGCAAGTCCAAAGTCATCAGAGTGAAACACGTCATCGTCCAGCCCATCCAGGCTAGAATAGTCCTCTTCCAGGTATCTGGGGCGATCCATTGCTCCTGCAATAAAGAGACATTCAAGGAAACAGCTAAGACACAAGAATCACATCCAGGAGACAATGCCTTCTGCTCCGACAGTAAAACACAGCTCTTGCTTCCACATCTGCTTCCCCCTCCCTCCCAGTGCAGTCCATCTGGGTGGGCATGAGAGGTGAGAGACTCAGTGGTAAAGATTGGGGCTTTGCAGAAAGTCTCTGTGTGGTTGGCCAGAGAGAGCCAAATTTCACATGTCTGATATTCCACCCAGGGCTCCAATCCCACAGCTGGTCACAGGGCAGGAGCCAACCCCCAACTTCAGCACATAGAAGCTGAAGACACTTGGTTGTAAAAACAACACCAATCCCTCAAACAGTCTTGTGCCAGTCAGCTTCTTTGGGGTTTGCTCTGCTTTGGCATGCTCTACTTGAACTGTATGTTTGGCCCCATTCACTTTTTCCCCCATCTGCTGAAGTAGAGTTCATAATCACAAGGATGCCAAGTTTTTAAGAAACCTTGGTGGCTGCAAAGCTCACAAGATCTGGCAAAGCTGTTCCTGTGAAGTTCTCCACAGCTTCCCAGTATAAATCAACCTTCCCTTCAGCTTCCCACTTCTTCCCTTGGCTTAACTCAAGACATGTCCCAAACTTGGCAACACAGCCACTTCACTACCCCTCTTACCCTCAATCCTACATGCACTGTCAGTGTGTCATTTTGCCCTACTACTAAAGAAAAGAAAGAAAACAAACAAACAACAACAACAAAAAAAACACATTTGCCAGTGTCAGGCTTTAAAGCAGGACTTCTGTAATCACCATAGCAAATGCTCCTGAGCTCTGCTGCAGCACAAAATGGGACAAAGATGGTGGAAGAAAGAACTCAAACCCTAAATCACTGTTTCAGAGCTCTTTGCAAACATACAGTAATTAGAAGCAGATTTTCCAGAAAGCCACAAGTCCCTTTACTGTTACCTGTGCATCTAACCCCATTGGAAGACAGTCTCCTAAGAGATCCATCTCCAGGATTTCCACCCAGTTCCAAACAAGGCAGTGAAATTCAACTCTTCACGTCTCTTCCTTTGCTCTGGTTTGCGAAGCATTTAACAGAATGGAAGACTAGCAAGAGGAATTTCAAGCCTGAAGGAGACATTAATAATAATTTTATAAGAATGCGTTCAGTGCTCCCCTTGGATCTCCCATCTCCCCCCAGGTGAGCTGCACTGACACACCAGCATGTGAGAAAAGACAAAGGGCCTGACCAGGGCATGAGCTGTGTGCACAGGGCCTCAGCTGATGGGCATATATTTGGGTTACTGCACCCCAGCAGCTCACATGGCCCTCCACCAGTGCCAAAGGAAGCTTGCAGAATGGACAGCAGCACCATGGATGGATGACAGCCGCGCTGCCTTCGTGTAACATTCACAACAACCTCATCAACAGCTTAAGGGCAGAGCACCAAAGGGAGTCACGGGTCCTGAGACGGCGGCACAGATCTTCTGCCAGCTCTGCCATGGGAGCACATCTCCTGACAGAGAGGCAAAAATGACCGCGTTTTTCATCTTCACAGCACGGTTTGCCAAGTGTAATCCGTCATGGCCCCACTGGGACACACACGATCATCACAATAAAGTGCAACAAAGGCACAAAAGGAGGTTACAAAGAGCAAGGTTTACTGGTCCTCCCACAGCTGAGGAAGACTTCAGATCACTTCGGAAATGCTGCAGACAGAGCGCCAACGCAGCGTAGAGGACAACTTACCCTAGAGCTCACTTCAGTTCTTCCCAAGAGCCCAGAGCACAGCTCAGCGAGCAGCGGCCGCCGAAGCCGAGAGCCACCCGGGGCAGCGGCGGACTCACCGCCCGGCCGCGCTCCCCCAGCGGCGCGTCAATGGGATTCCTCCGTGCTACGGTCACATGCCGGCGCTGACACCGCGCGGCAGAGCCGGGGGAGGGCTCAGCACACGTGCGTGCCAGCGTCCAAAACAAAGCCGGCGGCTCTCGCTCGGGCAGCGACAGCGCCTTAACTCCTCCCTCCCCACGACACTGGAGCTCTCCCCAACGAGCGACGATCCCGGCTCCGGCGGCCGGGGCTCCCCTCGGCACCCCGCAGCCCGAGGGGCTCCGAGCCGCCCCAGTCTCCCTCGGTCCCGCGCCCCTCCCCAGTCCCACTCATGCCGCTATCCTACAAGGAAGCGAGCCCTGGGCGGCCGAGAATCGCACGCGGTGCCCACGCAGGGGCAACGGGGCGCGATCGGCAGCCCCGGGCGCACACGCACGTAACCCGCCGCGCCCGCTTTGCCTTGCACCGCCCGGGCTACCCAGAGGCGCACCCACACCCCGGCGGCACTGTCACGCCGGCTCCAGCGCGTTGCCGCCCGCGGGCCTGGCGGCGAGGAGGCTCCCCAGGCACTCACCGCCGAGCGGGCCGGGCCGGGCGTCCCGCGGGGACGGGGGCGCCCCAGCAGCCGAACCGTCACCGCGCCTCCCCGCCGCCAAACTGCCACCGCCGCCGCCGGGCGAACCGCGAACAGCTGACGGCGGCTCCGCCCATGCCGCGCGCGCCCCGCCCCCGCCCGGCGGCCAATGGGCAGCGGGGGGGCCGAGCGGCACCCGCCGCCGCGCGCGAGGGGGCCGCCCAGGAACGGCTGAGGAGAGGGGCGGGAGAGCGGGGAGAGCCGGGCTGATGCAGGCTTGGCCTCCGGGGGCGCGGCCGGGCCCCGCGCTGCTGGAAGTGCTGCCGTTCATCTTCTGCTCTTCGGCCTCTCTAAGCGTGGGGTTGGCGTCTTCTTAGGTGAACGGCGTCACTGGACGCGCGCCACCCGTCGTCGGGGGAGAAAACGATAATTTCAGTGGCCCCGGAACACGGGGATAGCCTGCACGGGAGCGGGAGCACCCGCCTCGGGGAGCAGCTGGGGCCCGAGCCTGAATGACGTTGGATCCGTGGCTGGGCGAGGAAGCGCCTCGCGGAGCCTGGCTGTCCTGGAGCGGTGCTGCGGAGCCGCTCGGCTGTACGGGTTCCGGGAACACCGCAGCGCTTGGGCGGCGGCCCCAGGTCGTAGCAGTGCCGCACAGCCCGGCCGGGGGAGCGCTGCGGGGAAACCCGGCGCGTTCGTCTACCTTTCTTATCATCGGTTTCTCATCGATTCATTCAAAGTGTGGGAAGGAGGCACGAGGCTGCAGAGGCAGAGCAGGGGGCTCAGCCAGCCCAGCTGCACTTGCAGTGAGGCTGTGGCGTGCAGATCAGAGACGGGACAGGTTAAAAAGGAGAACACTCCACATGTAAAACTGCTTTTTCTCATGCTCTATCTGAGGTGGGAATGAGGAGGGAATAAAAGCTTACATCTGTTATCGTTCAGTGGGACTCGCTGTGCAAGCGACTGTTGTGTTTAGAACCCTGTGAAGCTGCTCTCTGCCTGAGCCTAGTGCCACAAAAGTGATCCCAAGCCATCCAAGAGCAGAGCCATTGGCACGGATGGTCTGGGAAGCCGTTGGCTAGGTTTGAAATTGATGAGAGTTTGACTCCAGCAACAGCTAGTTGTTTTCAAACAAAACTTGTATTTCTTGGCTCTATATGACTTAGAAAATTCTCCTTCACTTTTGAAGAATGAATGTTGAGGGTTTTAGGCTCAGGGAATACTCTAGCACATTTGGTGGTTATTCCTGCATATGTGCAGTACACAGAGCTAAACACCTAAGCTAATAAGGATAAATTCTTAACAGTGCCTCCTCACTGAGGCACTTAACAGGAGCCCCCTCAATAAGAACATTCAGAAAAAGATGAAAGCAGAGACTCAGTGTGCCAAACAACAGCTTGCTGTTGTTTTGCTTACTCCGCCATTGTCTGTAGCCATAGTTTCTCCTGAGTGCAATAGCAAAATCTCCCCGAAATCAGAGGTGCATCATCAAGCTCCTCAATTCAAAACAGGGCCTTGTCAGGTTGCCTTTAAAGCCTACATAAGGAGATCACTTGGAAGGGAGATTCTAAAACCCAGCTGGCGGCTGAGAAATGTTAATTGCTGTCAAGTCTGCCACACAGTTATTGAGGTAACTTAAATTCAGGGGACGGCTTTGATTGGAAACTGATTGGTAGCAAGGTGAATTACCCTGTGTTCCTCCTATGACACCCTCCTGAAAGGGTTCTGTGAGCCTCTCTGGTTGAACACTTCAGTCACTGTGATTTTGGGTGAGGTAGTTAAAATTGCCATTAATAGGTCAGCAAGCAATGCTCCCTCTCCAAGAAACCTGCTTATTTATAGTTCTTGTTCATTAGTTCATTTTTACTCTTACCTTTGCCAGAAGGACTGAGCTTCTTCATTATCAGAGGGTCACTGCACGTCTGACTTGTATATCACCGTCAAGAGAGAAAGAAAAACGGCTAATTTCTTTCATTTTCACAAGTCTGAATCGTAAGTTAACAAAGCTTAGCTGCCCACTTTTGGCAGTCTAGGGAATTAGGAGTGGTAGAGGAAGGGGAATGCTATCAATAAAAGCGACAAAAAGCACTCTATATCTTCAAGATGTTCAAATTTTGTCACAGTGATGGTCAGGCACTGGCAAAATGCCAGGCGCTGGAGGGCAACTTCTACTTGTAATTTGAATGTGCATTGCTATAAATAAAAAATGAATGCACTGCAATTCCAACAGCTTATGTCTTGCAGACTGAGTTATAACTGCCTGCTGGTTAGGCTCATTAACAGTAAAAACAGTACCTGATCGGCTTTGTTTTCATCTTGGTAAGCTGTAGTTGGGGCCACAATTTCAATCCCCAGAGGCTGCATTTTGGGAACTCCTACTGTGTTGAAAATGTATGGAGACTGAAATCTATGTATATAATCAGGCTGGATGGTAAGAGAGCTCAGGAAGGATATTTGTGCCTTTCAATGATTAAAAAAAAGATATGGCAGCATTTCTAAGAGAGGGGACTCAGAGGGATTCCTTGAGGAAATTAGACATTGTTAAGAAATGGCTCCGAGTAAATAGACCGAAACCAAGACAGAGACAGTGAGTCTGAAATGGAAAATTGTGAACTGAGGGCAAGTTATACCACCGAGTTGGCTGCATTCTGCAAAGAGAATTTCTACAATAGCATGGAGACGAGTGTCTTACCTTGGAACTGGAGCCACAGGGACAGATACTCTGCCAGATTTTTGTGCTCATTAATGTACGTGGCAGTAAGTTCATTCAAGAAATTAATCTAAAATCATGTGGAGTAGTGCTCCGTTAACATCTGTGGAGGGAAATATCATGCCAGCCTATTACCTTTTGATTAGCCCACTGTTGTGCTCAGAAGACTACTGAACAGCATTGCTTCTTTTATTTAGTTACTCCATTACATATCCCCTATGTGTCTTCAGAACTGTTTCTCCTTATTTTAGTGACAAAATGCTATTGTCAGCATTGTTCTGTAATTGCAGAATGCATTGTAATTTTAGGCACGGGTCTTGCAAGCTGCTCTGCCTGGGTGGGCTCCTGAAATCCACACAGGGCCATCTTGACATTGGTGGGGGTACTCTTTGCTAAAACCCCACCTTTGGAAACCAAAAGCCTGTATCATCTCAGTTTTCATTTCTATTTATCTAGCTCCTGTGGTTGCAATGGGGAAATTAAGAGTAGCCCAATGGATCATAAAGCTAAGCATGAACAGAAAAAATGCTTGGGGTTGATTATTTTGTTATCTTAAGGACATGGGGTCAATCTGATGATTTTTCAGGGGGCTTTGTGTGCTTAGAATTGGAAAACTTCATTCTGCCCTGACACATACCAACAGGCCTACTAGCTGTGTTCTACTACTGCAGAAACATTTTACTGTCATTGTATGACGCAGAAAAGCCCAGCTTGAATTTCAGGTTATGACTGTCCTTGCACATTCCTCACACAAGCTAACCTTGTGGAGAAAGCTGGCCTTTCTGTGACCGAAAGGCTCACTGGGTTCCATGCACAGTGCTGATAGGCACAAGTGCTGTATGACTGAAAAGGTGTATTAGAGAGCAGAATCACTTTCTAACTAAATAATACAGACAAGATATTGCTGCTGGGGTTTTCTTCTGCAGAGCCTTTTAAGAAGGCTCAGTGGGGCCTTTTAATTTCTCTCAGAGCAAACCTGAAATGCTCTTTTCTACCCAGATATTGGCAGTGTCTTGGGAAAACGCTTTACCTTTTCTCAGGCTTGTGCTCGATTCTTACTGCAAGGACCAAAGAAAGGAGTTTGCGTTTTGCAGTCAGTGGTGCCTATTGTCAGCTCTGCCTTACAGGCAACAAAATCAAGGGAAACACCAACAACTGAGATGTTGCTGACATGCACCTCTGTCTGTTCATCACTGAACATTCTCTTGTATGCTGGAATCATACAGAGCTTTTCCTCCCTGTCTTTTCTTTCTTTCTTTCTTTCTTTCTTTCTTTCTTTCTTTCTTTCTTTCTTTCTTTCTTTCTTTCTTTCTTTCTTTCTTTCTTTCTTTCTTTCTTTCTTTCTTTCTTTCTTTCTTTCTTTCTTTCTTTCTTTCTTTCTTTCTTTCTTTCTTTCTTTCTTTCTTTCTTTCTTTCTTTCTTTCTTTCTTTCTTTCTTTCTTTCTTTCTT